TTGTCACTTTAGTGACCAGGAGAGAGAGAACAGACAAAACAGGAATTTCAACTCCCACAGAAGGGAAATGTTCCCCCAGCTGCAAATCAATTAAAAATCCAGGGAAAGGATAATTTTATGCTTAAATTGCATAAAAATTCCTTCCAATACAGAGCTGATCCCTAAAAGTGATCATTTCTGGCCCAAACTGAAGCAGTTTAAATGGACAATCCCCTTTTTTCTTTTTTCTTTTTTTTTTTCAGGATGCTGATTTCCAACAGTGGAAGCATCCAAACATTTGGAAAAGTTCATTTGAAGCTGTTGGAGAAACATTCCAAGCCCAGCCATTCCCAAGGGGCTCCATAAAACAACAACGTTACAAACGCTCCTTTTATTCCACATTCCTTCCCGCTTCCTTCAATCCCTGCTCATGGATACAATCGGAAAGGGAAGCAAAATAAAAGTGTCCGAATTCCCTCTGGGAGGGATGCAAGCCTGGGACAGGGAATGAAGTTCTCCAGTGGGAAGAATTCCAAGGAAAGACCTCCCACACTTGGCTGCATCATCCCAAACAAAACCAGGATGTGCTGAAGGATTCCCCTGGCTGTCCAAAGACTGCAGGGAGGGGAAAATTCCTCTTGGAAGCAGCTTTGGGATGATGGGAGATTCCAGAATCCTTGGGGCATCCCAAATTCCAGCAGTGGGTCTGGGGCTGCTCCTGGAATAAATCTGAGTTTCCAAGGAAAAGCTTCCAGGCAGAGGGTTGGAATTTCTGCACCTCGTGATCCTTTGATGTGGGGAAAAGCTGGAGAGGCTCTTTGGGATCATGTGGATGTGGAGACGCTCACATGGCCCCTCCGGAACTGGGATGAGATTCCCTGGGATTATAGGGAAGCTCTCCTCCCCTCCTCAGGGTCTGCATTCCCGCTGTTCCCAAAGCACAGGGAATGGGATGAGCAGGGTGGATCCTTCCTCAGGATCTGAGCTCAGCCCCAGCAGTGGGATTCCCCAGAAATCCATGGGAATGATACAGATTTGGGAATCAAACCCTAATTCCCAAGGATCCAAGAGAATGGTGGGAATTGTCCACCCCACCTTGCTCTGAGTGTTTGGGGAAAGGATTCCCTGGAAAAATCCACTTGGCTGGATTGGCCACTTGGCCGACTTTGCTGGGATTTGAAGCCCATCCCACCAAAGAATCGCTCCAGGTCCTGCAATTCCCATTTTTCCAGGAGAAAATGGGGGAATTAATCATTCCCTGGCTGTTGGATCTGGCAGGGGGGATTTTGGATCTAAGGAGCCTGAGGAGTGAGTTTGGATTTTGTGGATAAAAGGGATCCAGAATTTCTCCGTCTTGGAGTCAGGGGCAGATATCCCAGGAGAGCTTCTGGTGCCAGAGTTAAACTGGATAAAAATCCCTTTTTTGGCAGGGTTAAACTGGGGAAAATTTCCTTTTTGTGCAAGGTTAAACTGGGAAAATGTCCGATTTTATGCCAGGGTTAAACTGGAAAAATTCCCAGGTTTATGACAGCGTTAAACTGGGGAAAATTCCCTTCTTGTGCAAGGGTTAAATTGGGAAAAATTCCCAATCTTGTGCAAGGGTTAAACTGGGAAAATTCCCAGTTTTATGCCAGGGTTAAACTGAGAAAATTCCCAGTCTTGTGGAAGGGTTAAACTGGGAAAATTTCCCAGTTTTATGCCAGGGTTAAACTGAGAAAATTTCCCTCCTTGTGGAAGGATTAAACTGGAAAAATTCCCAGTTTTAGGCCAGGGTTAAACTGAGAAAATTCCCAGTCTTGTGGAAGGGTTAAACTGGGAATCATTTCCTTGTGCAGCTCCAGCAGCTCAGGGTTATCTCCCTTTAATGTCTTGAATTTGGGGTAGTAATAAAAAAATGTAAATATGGAAATAATAAAGGAAGTTTAAATAAATGAATTCAAAAGAAATAACTTCTAAAGAAATAAATTTGAAACAGATAAATTACAAACAAATAAAAAAATTATAAGTAAGCAAACAAACAAATAAATAAATAATAAAACGTCTCTAAACAATGAAATGTCTCTGAATTATAAAATATGTAGAAAACCAAACAGGATCAGAGGCACCCCTGGATCAAGCCCTGGACAGGAGGGACTGGACACAGAGGGAACACAAAAACCTGGATGTGGCCATTCCCAAACCATCTCAGATCCCAGTTTATTCCCATCCCCTCCTGGCACTGGGATCTCTGGACAAGGCCCCTATAAAATCCTCATTTTTAATATCTATAAACCTAGAAATGAGATTTTTCCCTGCTTTGCCCTCTCCCCAAGGAATCACCCACCATGGAGCCCCTGGAATTCTGCAGAGAAGTTTTCCCCTCCTTTTCCCAAGGCCTGTGGATCCCTGAGTCCTGGGAATCCCTGGGAAGGATTTCCCCAATCCCAGGCCTCCCTCAGTGGGAAAAGCAGCCAGATCCCACAAAAACCCCGGCAGAGGTGGGAATAGCTGCCCCAGAAATTCCCAAATTCCCCTCAACTTTCCCCACTCTCCCTAATTAATAACTTGGGAAAAACTGCTGGAAAAGCAGATTTGGGATCCAGAAGGAATGGGAATGGGAATGGGGTGGGAGGAGAGTGGGGGCACTGCTCTGGAATCCCTCAGCACCCTCCAGCCCAATCCCACTCCCCTGGGATGGGATCCATGGGATGGGACCGATGGGATGAGATGGGATGGGATGGGATGGGATGGGATGGGATGGGATGGGATGGGATGGGATCCAAGGGATGCAATGGGATGCAATGGGATGGGATGAGATCCATAGAATAGGATCCATGGGATGGGATCCATGACATAGGATCTGCGGGATGGAATGGGACGCAATGGGATGAGATGGGATGGGATGCGACAGGATGCAGCCATGACATAGGATCTGCGGGATGGAATGGGACGCAATGGGATGAGATGGGATGCAACGGGATGTAGTGGGATGGGATCCATGGGATGGGATCCATGGGATGGGATCCATGGGATGGGATGCAATGGGATGCAATCAATGGGACGGGATCCGTGGGATGAGACAGGGTGGGATGCAATGGGATGCAGTGGGATGGGATCCATGGGATGGGATGCAATGGGATGGGATGGGATGCAATAGGATGGGATCCATGGGATGCAATGGGATCCATAGGATCCATGGGATGGGATCCATGGGATGGGATCCACGGGATGCAATGGGATCCATGGGACGGGATCTGTGGGGTGGGATGGGATGGGGTGGGATGCAATGGGATGAATTCAGACCCGTCTCCCCCCACTTCATTCCCAACCCTTCCTTCCTGGATCCCCTGCAATCCCCATCGGGAGTGGGGGGTTCACCCCTGTGCGATCCCCCCGCAGCCGGGGAGATCCTTTGGGATTCCAGGCGAGGGGAAGGCGGAGAAGGAGGCGGAGGAAGAGGAGGAGGCAGAGATCGCACCGAGAGCGGCCCTTTTTTTATCCCTTCCCCTCTCTCCCTCTCACAGGAAGCCCAACTCTACCTTCGCTTGGAAAGAGCCTTTCATAAACCCAGCTCAAGGCTCCCATTCACGGCCATGGAGCTGGGAAAAAAAAAAAAAAAAAAAAACGGGAATTAAAAAAAAACCAACCCGAGCAAGCTGAGAGTTTGGGGTTTCTTTTTTTTCTTTTTTTTTTCCTTTTTTTTCTTTCGCTTCCCTCTCGCTCTTCTTCTTTCTTTCTTTCTTTTTGTTTTTTTTTTTCGGCGCTCTAAAAAATAACCCAGAAATGCTCGCAGCGAAAATTTGATGTTTTTACCGTCTGCTCCCCGAGAGAGGAGAGACCGGAATTCTTCGCTGCTCAACTCCTAAATATCCGAAAGAAAACCGGGAAATAAAGGGGGAAAAGGGAGAAAAAGACCCAAAAAATCCCTCAGAGTTTGATTTTTAAAGTCGAGTGAGTCAGCCCCGGCGCCTCTCTGTGTTTGCCCGCGTGGTGCATCCCTGGCAGGGTTTGTAACCCTTTCCCAGCCTCGCTCTTCTTCCCAGCGTGGAAAAACCAGCAGGGAATGCTGGATCCCACCGCAATTCCCAAATAATCCCCCCCACAGCTCGATCTGGGGAAAGAGCGGGTGGGTTGGAGTTTTTTAATTTATTTTTTTTTTCGCAGAGGAGTTTTATGAATGAAAGCTCCCGGCTGAGCTGGGAGGGATATCCCAGCCCTGGAAGTTGGGAATGCTGGAGAAATCCAGGCTGGGAGAAGGGGGGAGCAGCGGGATGGGCTCGGGGGGGGGCTCAGCTTGGGCCAATCCCGGCAGCTCCAAACCCTTCTCCCGGTTTTCAGGGATCCTGGGATCTCCCGGAGAACTCTGCGCCCATGTGGGTGGAAAAAAAAATTAATTTCCAAAATCGACATAACCCCAAATCCCGAGGATTTCAGGGAATTTCGGAGTGAGGGCAAAGCGCTTTTGCTCTGGGGGGAGAAATTTAAAAAAAACCTCCAAAACCCCTAAAATAAAGGACGGGAAAGGGATGGAAGGAGGGGACGGGAATTTTCAGCCCCACGTTTGCAGTCGGCTTTTCCAAACTGCAGCTCCGTGGAGGCAGAGAGAAGCCCAAAATTCACTATTTTTTCCCTAAAACCAGAGAATTCCCTGGCTGGCAGAACCAATTTTTTGGGACAGCCAAGCAAACCCCCCCCCAGTGCCGCCGGTGCCCCAAAGGCAGCTGCAGAGCGAAAACATTCCCAACTTTTGGGGCTTTTGGGAAATTTGGGATTTGTTTGCGTGCGGCAGAGAGGAGGAGAGGCAAAAAAAAAAAAAAAAAAAAAAAAAAAAAAAAAAAAAAGAAAAAGCAAAACCCCAAAAATAAAAGGGACGGAGGGCGGGGGGGAGTTTGGGGCTTTTTGTCCCCTCGGCGAGCGAAAAGATAAAATTACTGCGGCTAAAAATAAAGCGGTGGTTAAAGGTTCCCCCTCCCTCTGCCATCTCCCACCCCTTCCAGCCCTCTCCCTGCTCCCTCCCTCCTTCCCTCCCTCCTTCCCTCCCTCCTTCCCTCCCTCTCCCGCTGCCTCTCCGTGTTTGCGTTTGACAAAGAAATGATTTGAACTTCCCGGAGCCGCAGAAAATCGGGATCCCGAGGCGCACCCGGGCCCATATGGATGTGATTTCCCAGCCCTCTCCCAGATGATCCAGCGGCACCGGGAGCCGCGGCGCTGAGCGCCTCCGCTGCCTCTCCCCATGGGCTCCGCGGCGGAATTTTGGGAGCTGCCCGCCACTCCAGCCATGAGAAAACGAGGAAAAGCCCCGGGATCTCTCGTCATGTGCCTCTCCGGCTGAAAACTGGGGGAGCCGAAGGAAGGAAATCCCGCGGATCCTGGGGGGCACGCCGGGGAGGACGAGGAGAAATCCGCGCCGCTGGAATTGCGAGCTCGCCTCGTCCCGCTTCCCTGCGCGAGGCTGGATGCTGGAAGCAGCCCCTTGGATATGGGATCATATCTGGTGTATCCCAGCCTGGGTTTGATCCTCTGCTGCTCCGTGCTCAGCTCCGTCTACGCGCTGGTGAGTCCCGCTTTTTTATATTTTTTTTTCATTTATTTTCCCATTTTTTCCCGGAGGATCCGCGCGGATCCCGCCGCCAGGAGGGATAAATGAGGGGATGAAGGATTAAAAAGCTGTTTGGGGTTGTTGGGATCCGCCGGCGGGGCTGCAGGCGCTGCAGTGAAAATGTCTGTGCTTCCCGGGAGTTGGGATCGCTTGGAAAGCTCTGGGCAGGACGTGTGAGGTTTGACAGGGATCCGGGACAGCGTTTGGGGCAGAATTTCGGGATCTGCCTGTGGAGAAAGGACGACTTTGCTTCCTTTTTCATATTTTTATTTCTTTTTCTTCTCTTTTTCTTCTCTTATTTTTTCTGCTTTTATTTTTTTAATTTCTCTTTCTTTTTTAATTTTTTCTTTTTTTCCCTATTCCTTTTTCTTTCATTTCTTCCTTTTCATTTCTTCCTTTTCCTTTCCCTTCACTTTTTCTCTTCCCTTTCCCTTCCTCTTTCCCTTCCCTTTTCCCTTCTCCTCCACCTTTCCCTTTTGCTTCCCTTCGTCTTTTCCTTCTTCCTTTCCCTTTCCCTTCCCCTTCTCCTTCTTCCTCCTCCCTTTCCCTTCCCTTCCTCTCCACCCCCTCCAAGCCAATTTCATTCCCAATTCTCCTTTCCCTGCAAATCCCAATGAAACCGAGCCTCTCCTTTGGAATTAAATTCAGGGAAAACAGGGAACTTGTAGGAACCCTTTGCTCCTTGGCACTTTCCCCCCCATCCTGCACACACCGGGATTTCCAAGGCTGGAAAACCAGGATAAATCCATCCAAACTGGGAAATGGTGTGAGACCTGCAGCTCCAAAACCTCCAGGAAGCAGGGAAAGGACATTTCCTCAGGAATCAGCCCCTGGATGTGGAGCCAGTGCTGGAATTCCCTGTGACAGGAGCTCTCCTGGTTTTCCCCATCCCTGGGATTCTCCCTCCTGCCTCCCATTTCCCAGCGTTTTCCAGGAGGCAGCCAGGACACCCATGGGAAGTGGGATCTGCTCTCCAGGAGGGATGGAAATGGGATTTGGGATCGGGATCATTCCGGCTCCAGTCAGGTCCTTCCTGACCCTCCAGGATCCACCAGCCTGGGCCTTATCCCTGGATTTGGTACTTCAGAATCTTGTGCAAGCTGGGGGGGTTTTCCAGATTTTCCAGTGGGAAATTTCTCCTCACTAAATGAGAAGGAACAGCCCCTTGGAAAACAATCCCTGTCTGAGCCCATCCCTGTTCAATGTGCGGAGAAACCTCCCAAAATCCAAAGAAAATTGGGGAAATCAGGAGAACCGCTTGGAGATTTGCTGGGATTTCAGGGATGGATGAGGCTTTTCCCAGATTCCAGGGCTGGATCAGCATCTCCTGACTTTGGGGCCATGTCCAGGTCCTGCAGCACCTGCTGCCCCCTGCTCCAGAATTCCTGCAATTCCTGCTGCTTTGGGACTGGAAAATCAGGATTGGGAACCAGAGGCTGGAGCTGGGGAAATTTCAGGATGGAAAAAAAAAAACAGGCAAGGCTGCATCTCCCATTCCCATTATTCCCATTATCCCCATTATCCCCATTATTCCCATTATTCCCATTATTCCCATTATTCCCATTATTCCCATTCCTGTTCCCATTTCCATTCCTGTTCCCATTCCCATTATTCCCACTATTGCCATTATTCCCATTCCCGTTCCCAGCTCACTCCCCTCTCCCTGTATCAGGAATTCATAGTGGGATTTCTTTGGGATCGCCCATCCCAAGAGATCCTTTCTATCCCAAGGGATGAGCTGGGATGTCCCCCCATGTCCCCAGCACTGGCTCAGGGCAGGCTGGACATGGCAAAAATTGGGAATGAGCTCTTCCCGAATCCCAGAGGGCTGAGAAATCCATGGGATTTTCTGGGGAAGCACAGGAGTTTCCCTAAAACCCCTCCTGGACCTGGATTTGCCGATCCCACAGATCCTTCCCAGCTCGCAGCTTTCAGGTCCTGCTGCTCCAAACCCTGCTTGGTTTAGTTAGGCCAGGCTTAAATTCCTGTTTTAGATGCTTCCCTTGCTTTTCCAACCGCTCTTGATAGCAGAAGGAATTCCCAGATTCCTAAATCCATCCTGACAATCCAGGAGCTGCAGGGATCCCGAGTGTCCCCCTCAGGCAGGATAATGTCACCCCTTGTCACCCCCCATCCAGGAATTCCTTCAAGCCTGGCTTTTACTGGGGTTGTTCCTTCTTTTTCCGGCTAATTGGATTTTTAAAGGGACTTTGGAAAGAGGGAATGGGACCTGGGGTGGCCAGCAGGGAGAAATTGTGTGGATTTATTCTAAAATGTGTTGTTGTTATTATTATTTATTATGAAATGTGCTATTAATATTTATTATAAATGCTGTTGTTGTTATGGTTATTTATTCTAAAACGCGTTGTTGTTATTTATGGGAGGGTCACAAATATATTTAATATTCGGCTCTGAGGGAGTTGCTGCCGTAAATTTTCCCTTTCCTAGGAGCAACAAGGAAAAATCCATGGATGGATGGGGGTGCGGGGATTTAATTCAGGCTCTGGGCTGAGCTTAAAGCGCTCCCGAGCTTTTCCCCCGGGCTCAGCAGAGCCAGGCTCAGCTGTGGGCTGGGATCGGGAGATTCCCGCAGCCAGAGGCGGCTCCAGGGCACAATTCCCGGCTGAGCCTTGGGAATGCGGGCTCAGATCGCCGGGATCTCTGCAGCTCCGTGATGCTGGGGTGGGGCAGAGCCCGGAGTGTCCCAAAGCCGGCGCTGACATTCCCGGAATTCCCCTTGGAGCCGCCAAGGATCATGCCCAAGGCGATTTTGAGGGAATCGTGCAGGAGCAGGGCTGGGAAATAATTTCTGGGATATCCCAGGATTGGGATCTGGATCCGTGGGATATGCCAGGACTGAGAGCTGGATCTGGATCCCTGGGATATCCCAGAACTGGGATCTGCATTCCTGGGATATCTCAGGATTGGGATCTGAATCCGTGGGATATACCAGGATTGGAGCTGGATCTGATCCTTGGAATATCCCAGAACTGGGAGCTGGATCTGTGGGATATCTCAGGATTGGGAGCTGGATCCCTGGGATATCCCAGGATTCGGACCTGGATCTGGTCCCTGGAATATCCCAGGACTGGGAGGTGAATCTCGATCCCTGGGATATCCCAGGATTGGCAGCTGGGTCTGGATCTGCAGCAGCCTTGGCTGTCCCTGCATTCCAAGCAGGGAGGGAAATCCAGCACTGGGAAAAATCTCTGGGAAGGAGAGAAGAGCCTGGAAATCAGGGCCCTCTTCCCTGAGGCTCAAATCCTTCCAGGATCAGCTTCCCAATCCTGGGATTTTAGAGACAGACTTGTTGCAGCTCTCCCAACAATCCAGGGAAATCTTCCCAACATTTCCCGGAACAGCCCAATAACACCTGCCTGGGCAATGGGGGGAATTCCACCTGGATGGAGTGCCTGAAATCCGGCAGGGTGAGGGTGGGAATCTGGGACAATTCTGCCCTTTAGCCCCAGGATTAAGGAATTAAGACCGGCCTAAGGAGGAGAGCTCTGCAAGGACGGGCTTGAGGAGGATTTGTGGCACTTTGAAAGTCGGGTCTGACACCAGCGGAGCTCGGGAGAAGGGAAAATGTGGGAATGATTTTTGTTTGTGAGGTGCTGGCAGAGGGAAAATCTCCCCGTGTCCTTAAAGGTTGGATTTTAGGATCCGAATGATCTTTCCAATCTAATCCTGGGATTCACTGAGCAAAAATCTCCAAGGTTTTGCTCTTCCAACCCTTTTATTTTCCCTTTGTTTCCTGATTTTGCTCAGCCTGGGAGATCCCAGCCCTGCTGTCACTGGAGCAGACATTCTGATTAATCAATCCATTAATTAATTATTAATAATTATAGGACAGCAGCTTCCTGCAGGGCCTGGGACCAGAATATCCCAGTTTTGGGAAGCAGCTGCCAGGCTGCAGTGGGCTGAGCTTAGGGAAGTAGATCCATGTGGGAAAAGGGTGGGAAAAGGGACCATTCCCACTTTTTCTTGGCTGCCCGGCCTGCTCAGGGTGTTCAGGTGATGTTGAATTTCTCTCTGCTTTTGGGACCATCCCAAAAATTCCAATCCTGATCTTTGGGGGATTGGGAATCTTTTCTGGCACACCTGGAGAGAATTCCCCATTCCACGTCCATCCCTGGATCACTGGAGGAGATATTCTGATTAATCAATCCATGAATTCATTATTAATAATTATAATCCAGCAGCCTTCTGCAGGGCTTGGGACCAGAATATCCCAGTTTTGGGAAGTAGCTGTAGTGGGCTGAGCTCAGGGAAGCAGATCCATGTGGGAAAAGCATGGGAAAAGGGACCGTTCCCACTTTTTCTTGGTTGCAATCCCAGCCCCGGCCTGCTCAGGGTGTTCAGGTGATGTTGAACTTCCCTCTGCTTTTGGGACACTCCCAAAAATTCCAGTCCCGATCTTTGGGGGATTGGGAATCTTTTCTGGCATATCTGGAGAAAATTCCCCATTCCACGTGCATCCCGGATCCCTGGAAGTGTCCTGGGAAAGTCTGGATGGGGCTCGGAGCAGCCTGGGATGGGGGAAGGTGTCGGGGTTGGAATGGGATCATCCTTGGGGTCCTTTCCAAGGCAAAGCACTCTGGAATTCTGTGCTGTTGAGGAAGGTTTGGATTAAGGATGTGCTGGATGGGGTTTTCCTCTTGGACTCGTTCCTTGTTGTGCAGATCAATCCCACAGATCTGGGATTTCTCCAGAAATCGGGAAAAGGGAATGCTTTGAAGTTGGGCGGATGCAAGGAATGATAATGCTCGTCCTCGGAACTCAAATTTATTAAAAATTTAAACATTTTTTTAAACTTTTTAAAATTTTTAAAGTTTAAAAATAATAAAAATAGCAATCAAAATTTTAAAATAAAAAGAAGAGGAAAAATAAGAAAAATAAGAAAAGAAAATTAAAATTAAAAATAAAAATAATAAGAAAAATAATATGAATAATAA